TGATGAACTTGGAGCACATCACATACTATGTCTCATCGAAACATACTCATGAGCCAAGTTTAACCTTTCAATGTAAGGATTACTTTGAACATCATAAATAACGCGCCAAATTGAACTATGGTAATGCGCCAAATTGAACTTTTTAATATACTGATGAACTTAGAGCATGTCACAGACTATTCCCAAATTGAAACATACTCATAAGCCAAGTTTAACCTTTCAATACAAGGATGAAATTTGAACATAATAAATAGCGCGCCAAATTGGTCTATACTAACGCGCCAAATTGAACTTTTTAAAATACTGATGTACTTGGAGCACATGACATACTATGCCCCAAATTGAAACATACTCATGAGCTAAGTTTAATCTTTCACTGTAAGGATGTACTTTGAACATCATAAATAATGCGCCAAATTTAACTATACTAATGCGCCAAATTGAACTTTTTAATATACTGATGTACCTGGAGCACATCACATACTATGCCTCAAATTGAAACATACTCATGAGCCTAGTTTAACCTTTCACTGTTTCTTTCAACTTTTGGGTAATAACTGTGGATTAAAGGTGAAGAAAAGTCATTTATTAAAAATCAAAAAATTAACTTTTCAATGAGTTAATCGATTAATTCCAAATTTTAACACAATATTAATCATAGCAAGAGGGACACTACAGAATCGAATAAATTAGAAAAACTTAATTTGCAAATTATTTGTCTGTGGAAATCAGAACCATCGCCTGTAGATATTAATCCTTTAATTCATAACAAACGGATTAGTTATCAGTGAACAAAACTCATGTCATAGAAATTAAATACTTGGGGATTAAAGTTTTATTTATATTGCTCTGACATATCAATACATGTACGAGATGGTGAAAAACTGCATGATCTTGAAAGAATTGTTGGCCAAGGGGAGGGGGTCGCTAGGTATGGGCCTGTATAAAATGCGTAATGTATTTAGCTGAATATTGAGCATTTCTGTGTCAAAACTGTTTGTTTTTGTGGTTGACAAAGTGAATACAGGTGGTTGTGCCTTTGTAATATAAGAGGGGGATTTAAATGTCGTTTATTGTAACCTTGATGTGACAGAGAAACAATAGAGTAAACATGTGAGGAAAACTTATTAATTAAGAATTAAAAAATTATTTTTCCAATTAATTGATCAATTGAATCCAAATTTTAACACAATGTTAATCATAACATGGGGGATAATATACAATCAAATAAATATAAAAAACTTAATTTGCAAATTTTTTTTGTTGAACTTAGAATCGTTGGCTGTAGGAAATTAATCCATTGACTCTAACAAACAGATTAGTTATCAGTGTTAACGAAACTCATTTTATAGAAATTGAATAATTAGGGATTAAAGTCTTACTTATCATATTGCTCTGACATAGCTGTATGTCCATACCGTATGTTATTTGGAACAGTTTGTTCTTCCATGCACCAATTTGCTCAAAACATAATCATCGATTTGTCAGATGAAACATTTGCAATAAATGTAAAATGCGCCCGTTTCTTTAGTTGCATTATCACATTATCAACTAAACATACCGAATCTTGCACCTTTTGTATATGTATATATTGAAACGGAAAACAAAGAATAATTAATAAAACCAGCTGTAATAAACAGAAATGGTCCGATTCTAATAGAAACAATTGTATTGCAAAGGCTAATCTCTGTTGTTTATCACGGGTGTTTATCTCAGATATCATATGGATAACAGAAACCGCATGAATTGTGAAATGTGAAAGAATATAAGTTTTGACTTTGTTCTAATATGGCTTAATACTACATGAACTTGTATCAGTTACATAATGCATGTTATTTCTTAATTTATTATAAGTGATTTGTCAGATGGAATCAATATTTCTGGTATATTACAGGCTCGTAATAAGTTTGAGCCCAGGGGGTCAATTTTCAAAACATACCAATGATTTTGAAAGAATCTTGGCAAAGGGGTGGGGGATTCACATGAACCCAACGACCCTCCCCTCATGGCCACATACCTGTATCAAATGTGTAATGTATTGAGCTGAATATTTTTGCAGTTTTGTGTGGTTTGCGAAGTGAATAGTGGTGTTTGTTTGTGTCTGTGTAAGAGAGGGCTTTAAATGTTGTTTGTTATAGAGAAACAATCGAGTTAAATTGTGAGGAAACCCCACAATTAAAAATCAAAAAATTAATTCCCAATGAGTTAATCGATTGTATCCAAATTTGAACACATTGTTAATCATAGCACGAGGTATACTATACAATCAAATAAATATGAAAAACTTAATTTGTAATTTATTTTTGTGGGAATTAGAAACATAGACTGTAGAGATTAATCCATTAACTCTAACAAACAGATTATTTATTAGGGTGAACAAAACTCAATTCATAGAAATTGAATACTTAGGGATTAAAGTTTTACTAATTACATTGCTCTGACATGTCAATACATGTACAGGTATGTGAATGATGAAAAACTGCATCTCTTTTAAGAAATTGTTGGCCATGGGAAGGGGGTCCTTAGGTACGGGCTTGTATAAAATGCGTAATATATTAATTGAATAGTGAGCAGTTTGTGTCATGACTGTTTTTTGGTTGGCAAAGTGAATAGTACAGATGGTTGTTCGTACCTGTGTAAGAGGCCGGGGGATTTAAATGTTGTTTGTTGTAAACCTGATGTGACAGAGAAACAATACAGTAAAAATGTGAGGAAAACTCATCAATTAAGAATAAAAAATTAACTTTCTAATGGATTGATCGATTGAATCCCAAATTTAACACAATCTTAATCATAACTCGATGGACATTATACAATCAAATAAATATGTAAAAACTTTATTTGCAAATAATCTTTTTGAGAAATAAGAACCATACGCTGGAGAAATTAATCCTAACAAACGGATTAATTAGTGTGAATGAAACTCATTTCATAGGAATGGAATACTTAGGGATTAACGGCTCAAAAATAAACTCATATAATCCGGTTTTGATTGCAAATGCCAACATATTATTTGCTCCTGACTAGAATATTATTCTATATTATATGGCAATATATGTTGTTCCCTTCAAATAATACACGAATAATATCATTAAAGAAAAATTAGTTTTTAAAAATAGTTATTATATCTTATTCCGCAATAATACAGGAAATAACTGCCTACTGTACAGGAAAAAATATTCTCTACGATTCCCTCTAATTGCAACTATATTAAACATTTTATTCTATATTATTTTTACTTCAATACCAAGTTAATTGAAAAATGTAACTTTTCACAGACTTAATGAAATGAATCCAAAATTTAACACAGTGTTAATTATAATTCGACTGCCATTGCCCAATTTAGTAAAAGTAAAAAGCTTAGTTTATAAATGACTTTTTGATGGAAATTAGAACCCTCAGTTGTAGAAATGACCAGATTAATCTGAACAAGCGCATTAATTAGCATTAAAAACAAAATACATTCGATGCTGGACTTTGCTTTTAATCTGTTAAAACAACAAACTCGGGAACTGAAGCTATTACGTAATATCGCGTATAAGACGCGTATAGTTTGTTTTGAGGTAGAATAAGAGAAGAATCGGTCAAGTATAGTTTGATATAGTCTGTTTTAATTTAATATAAGTTGTTTTTCACCGCATATAGTAGGTTTGATTCCTACTTTGAGGCGTATAAGTGGAAAATAGTTCAGTAAAGATATACACTCTGCAATGATATATGCAGCTTATTTCAGTTTATATGGGCGTATGGGAGAGTATATCAGGACTTATATTAAAGTGTTCCGTTTTTAGGAATATGGGAGAAACTATTCTCGCCCATATTTTAGGTGATATTCAAACTATATGGGGGATATTCTAAAAAATAGTTTGCTATAGTACAAACTATATTTGGCTTTTTTCACAGTGGATTGTTCTATGTCTGATAGCCTTTCTAAGGTAAGTGCACTTATGCATGGTAAATACCAAATTTAATTTTTCACAATGGATAAATTTTTTTCTTTAAATTAAATGTAATAAATACGCATTCGAACAATCCCGTATGTTTTTAAATTAGTATATGTGCTTTAAATCTGTAACGGGGCGAGTGTAAGGCCCGTGGGTGGCAAATAAAAGTAACAGATAACTAAAGTTAAAATATATAAAATAGTCTATTTCAAATAAACTTCAAACGTTCTCTGTACAATCTACATTATCATCTAACTCTAAGCAACTACTTAGGCTGGGCCAACACCCAAACTCAGCTACATGTGAGTGAATGCTATTATATGGAATACAAAAACAGTACGAAACAATCACACCATGAAAAGCTAAAAATTGCTTATAAAGGAAGATATAGTAGAAAGTATACAAAAGAATTGAAAACATTGGAATTAAATATTTGAAACACTGGTGTAAAGTAATGAAGGGACCTGTTAAAATGACATGGTTGGGGATTGGTCAATATGAAAAGTAGAAATATAAACAATGTGAAAATGACCATGTTACAAATCATATATTTTAATTTTTTTTGATTAAATAATTCAACTGATCTGCTCCGGTTACGTTCCCAGCTCCGGTTACGTTCCTAAGTAATATTTTTAAAACTTTTTTTTTAATTAAACAAATCAGAGTCGTGTGAATCAGAAATAACAGAATTATTCAAAAGTATAAGGACTATTCTGTACTTTTTTCAGAAGTCTATACCTAAATGTTGTGAAAAGTTATAATCGAAAAACCATCTTTCGGAGTAAAGTCCGTCTGCGCCGATTTCAATAACTTCGTACTTGATCAGAACTGGGTTCCAACAGAATTCCTACAAACTCATGAATGAAATAGTTATTGCATGGAATACTTACTTTTGTCAAAATCAAAATAGAACTCTAGTTAAAAATATATTGTGCTAAATTATTCCATTTCTTAGTAAAATGTCGTTCTCCGGTACGTTGCCAAAATTATTCGATGGCACCCCGTGGTTTTCAAGTATACTTTCTAGTTATCCAATTGTACTTTCTTCTTTTCCAGGTGGGTGTTCAGTTCCCCAACCATTGCTGATCTACTGAAGCGTCACTTGGATCCTGTCCTGTCAAATGTAAAACCAGCTTTCGTTGGTACGTACATTTTTAGATAAGATACAATTGATTTGAAAAATTCAGTATCTAATTTTGTAAAAGCAATGATCTCGACAATGCCTTTTCACTTGGCAGGGCACCTCACTGAACTTTTTACTCCATTCCTGGTTGTAGATATTGGTCCATCCTGCACTATTTACAAATGGAGAAAGTCTGATTTCAAGAGGAAAAAATAAAAAAGATACCAGGAAACAATTGACAAAAGAAAAAAATAACAATGGCAAAATAAGAGAATTTGCTAAACAAAAGAATAACAATGACTAGACAAAAGAATGACAATGATTTATCTAAAGAATATCAGCAATGACTAGATAAAATAATTGACAACGACTAATTACATTTAAGAATGACTATGATTTATCTAAAGAATCAACAATGACTAGACAAAAGAATGACAATGATTTATCTAAAGAATATCAACAATGACTAGACAAAATAATTGACAATGACTAAACATTTAAGAATGACAATGATTTATCTAAAGAATCAACAATGACTGGACAAAAGAATGACATTGACTAATCAAAATAGTGACAATGACTTATCTAAAGAATATCAATAACAAAGTGACAATGACTTGTCTAAAGAATATCACCAATAACTAGACAAAATAGTGACAATGACTTGTCTAAAGAATATCAACAATGACTAGACAAAATAGTGACAATGACTTAAAAAAACAATAGACATGATAAATTTTACACCTTGGAATCTCAAGTTAAGCCGACTTTTTCACATCAGCTTGATTAATTTCATTTGCAACAAATCCATTTTCATTACCAGTATATGACACCAGCTTTGCCATAAAATTATGAATAACTCATTGTAAATCCCACCCACAACCCACTTATGAGACTATTTTTACTCCAATTTTTTAATGGGCCCATAATGCATTTTTTATTAATCATTGTGCTACATTTCATTAGCAAACACAAGGGAACATTATCTATTGCTGTGGTATCACAAAAGATTTTATAAAGTGGCAATGCTATATAAAGTAGTAACATTAAAGGGAGAATCAGACTAAGTTAGCAAGCTTTCCAATATTTTGGGCTTATATAAATTTGTGTTCTAAAATATTTTCTAATAATACCATGGGCTTTCAATATGCCCATTATAATACCCACGGTTCCTATGCTTTGTACCAGGAAAACTTGAAGATATTTAGATTCATTAAGGGGAATTTTCTGCACTTATGCACTCAGTTGATATGATAGATTATGGAAATGTATTTCAAATGGTAAAGAATACATTGAACAGCAGATCATATAAAAATTTGTTGGTATTTTTTGATATCACTTTTTATGCCCGGCATAAAAAGTGATGTCCCATTTTATGCTGGCATAAAAAGTGATGTCCCATTTTATGCTGGCAAAAAAAGTGATGTCCCATTTTATGCTGGCATAAAAAGTGATGTCCCATTTTATGCTGGCAAAAAAAGTGATGTCCCATTTTATGCTGGCATAAAAAGTGATATCCCATTTTATACCAACAAATCCGGGTATTTGTTACAGTCCATTTTTATATAATCTGCTGTTATTGGTACACTGAAGATCAATTTAATTGTACATGTTGTTGTCATCATCCCTATATCTCTGATTCTGCCTTTAATATATTATGCAACATGGCAACAATCTGAGCCTTGACATATTTATGATTCATAATAGTATGCTATTAAACAGTATAAGTGAACAGTTCCCATGTACATATGTCATTTGTATGCCACTTTGCTAATTTCATGAGAATGTTTCATTACTTTTGTGTTTGAACGTAGCCAATTAATTTACTAGAGTTCATTGCCTTAACAGTACCATATATCAGCTAATTGGAATCATTTTGTGCATTTGCCTGACAAAATTTTAATATCACAGAAATTGTGATTATTTAGTTTCTACAAAATCAGTGCTTGGAATCAGCATTATTATTTAGGTCTAAAATCTACAAAATCTCTAGTGGCAGATAAATTAGTTCCAAAATCTGCTCCTCCCACATAAACTAGGCAATTGAAAACAAATTTAAATATCCATTCCAAAAGTCTCTACTCAGTCTCTATCTCAAGCCGTCAAAATCCCAACCCCTGGAACAAAATTATTTGTCAAATTTCTAACCCTCCTTGGATGGATGAGGTTTCACGCATATGTAAACTCCCCGAGAGTAAGAGTACTATATCCAGTAACTCAGCAATTCATCCTGTACAATGTGGAATATCATGGTAGCTATTGAAGGAGATCCCCTGGCCTTCTCAGAACTTATGGTTCTTTCCTCCCCTCTTTATAATGCAGCTTCTTCAATTCTGATCCCACTAAATTAACAAAAGAAAAAACTAACAATAAAAAAGTTAATTTTTCAGAATACTTATAGGAAAGGATCTAATTATACTACTCTTATCAACAAAGCATGTGTTCAGTAGCATTATATCACATTTCCCAGGCCCGTAGCCAGGGGGGTTTGATTGGTTCCCCCCCCCCCTGGATCAAAAAATATTTCAAAATCATGCAGTTTTTCACCATTCTGAGCACTTTTTAAGTGATTTTGGCCATTTGGACCAAAATTGATACAAGTGAAACCCCCGCCCCTCTTGACAAATCCTGGCTACGGGCCTGTTTCCTCATACTTATATACAAATCATACATTTCAGACCAGGTCGAGTTAGACAAATTCAGTCTGGGAGAACAGACCCCTTATATCAAATATGTGAGAGCTTTCGAGAACGCAGATGGTATACCAGAAGGGACGACTCCAGTATCTTGGCTAGACATGATTCATCCTCCTAATGGTCTTTCTATGGTGTCTGACTACCAGATAGGCCTTGTGATTGATATAGGTAGGTTTTGATACTTATAATATGCTGTAGAAGTTATTTACTGGGAGGGATTGAATATTGTTTTTATCCCACACTTAGTACTGCTATCTGTAAATAACATGAGGGAATATAATTGATATCTGAGGTGAGTGGGAGATATATATATGTCCCGCTGTACCCTCCACTCATCAATCCCTAGGTATTTTGTTCAGCGCATTTTCCTGCATTTTTTAATCATCATATTCTATTAAAGTATGGGATCAATAAGTTATTTACTACTCGGTATTGAATACAGGTTATAACCCTCGGGAAATACAATGTATAGATATATTGTACATGTATTTCCCTAAGCAGGATATACCCTGTATCCAAAACTTCCCATTTAATAACCTTCATATATTATAATATAAAAGTAACTATTAGTAGATGGGTTAACTGCATTTTAGGGGGTCTGGACTTCAATCTATGATGCAAACGGTTCCTTTGGCATGAGAGTACCTTAGGACCATAGAAACAAATTTATCCAAAGACACACGCTAGATGGCGCTTTATATTGGAAATATTCACATTTTTCAAAATGGCCGCCAAAAATACAACGGAGACAATATATTTTCTTCTATGCATACTATAATGATACGATTGGTGCCTAAATATACATTTTGTGGTCGAGGAATCAATTTAGTGTTGGTTTTGTGTCTTGAAAATGAGAAACTTCCTCTTTATATTAAAAAATATGCCTTTTCAAAATGGCTGCCAGAGATGTAGCAAAGATGATATCTTCACTTGTATGCATGCTACAAAAGTAAGATTGATGTCCAAGTATACATTAATGGGTGGTAGAATCCATTTGATAAGGTTTATAGTATTTTTTTCCCAACGAAGAAAGCTCAGTGGGGATAGTAAAGCCCTCCGTCCGTCAGTCTGTCAGTCCATCATCTGTCTTATGTATGATTTTGCAATTATTTTCAGATTCCTTCAAAGTATGGCCATATGTACTCAATTAAATTGAAGATGATGTTAATTTTATGAAATATGATTTTAGCATTGACTTAATGGACAACAAAATGTTAAAATCAGCGGAAATTCTGATATTGTACTGCAAATCTATTAGTTAACAAACATTTTCACTTTTTATTGAAAATGTATGCCCTTTTCTCAATGGCTGTGGAAAATATTACAACAAATTGTATCTAACAAGGGCTCTTAAACTTCTTCAAAAGTAGAATAGTTTGAAAGTGTAGTTTTGAATATCAATTTGTAATGGAAACTATGATGAAAACTATGGATAGCATGGGAGATGTGGTTTTCAACTTCAGCGCATTTCAAATGCCATCCCCTTTTAAGTAATTGTTGATATAAAGTGAAGAAACTTTTGATATGTTTTAATTGAGAAAAAGAGGAGATGAAGAGGGTTCTGCAATACTGTCATAATATACAGCCTATTCCGATCTTCAAGATTTTCTCTCGCCAGAAGATTTCTGGCCCTTTCTAACTATAGGTGCATATGTATGTCTCTCCTGCGTGGTTTCTATCTATCACATTTCTCTCTTATGTATGTTGCATTGCAACAACTAAAGTTGCACTACCATTGCAGATGCATGTTTATTGCAAGTTACATTAAAGAGCTGACTCTGGTCTTTCTGGTGAATTTGAGTAAAAGGAACATTGAAAAATAAATACACATTTGAAATGAGTCCATCAACTTTAAAATTGAATTTTCTTTGAAAATGTGACATTTAGGTCAGGGAGATTTCCCATAGTCCCCATGTTGTAAAACACAAAAAGTGAAATATCTTTTCTTGTGTTGTGCAGATAATATTTTCTTTTACTGGAGATATTTTAATTTATACAACTGTCAGATACAAAAGAGTAATATGAACCACTAAGTTTAAGTGAACTTTGTGATACCCTGCAATGTTATTTCACCCGAATTAACCGTCCGGTGGGGAAAATAGTAACTAGCTACTTGCATCTGAGTAATTAAATAGATTTTACATTCCCAAAAATGTAGATTTTGAAGCCAATTTTATGAAATATTATGCCCAGAAGCAAAGAAACTTTTAGCAAAGATACAATTTTTGCTAGCAAAGATACAATCTTTGTTATCAAAGGTACAATCTTTGTTAGCAAAGATACAATCTTTGTTATATTTTCAGCTGCATTTATTTCCAATATAAACTGAAAATTATAATCTCACAAGACCTAATGAAATTGATTCTCCTACCCCATAAATATTAAATTTTGACACCAATTGTATGTGTATCATATGCACTGATGTGAAGATATCATCATTGTTATATTTCTGGTGGCCATTTTTAGAAACACATAATTTCCAATAGTGAAAATTCTTATTATGAAAGACCTATTTAAATGGATTCTACAACCCAATATTAATGTATACTTTGACACCACTCTTATCATTGTAGCAATCTTCGAAGCGAAGATATCATCTTTGTTATATTTCTGGCAGCCATTTTGAAAAATGCATATATTTTGAATATAAAGTGCAAGTGCTGAATTTACAAGATTCGAAACCTAATTAAATAGATTCTACAACTACATTAATGTATTTTTTGACACCACTTATAATTGTAGCATGCATAGAAGCAAAACTATTGTCTCTGATGTATTTTTGGCGGCCATTTTGAAAAATGTGTATATTTCCAATACAAAGCACCATCAAGCTTGTGTCTTTGGATAAATTTGTTTCTATTGCCCTGAGATATTTCCATGACAGAGGGGACATTTTGTAAGGTAAGATATCCTAATTTGTAAGTATTCTTAAGGTAAGATTTCTTCTTTGTTATATTTCCGGCAGTCATTTTGAAAAACGCGTATATTTTGAATATAAAGTCGAAGTTCTTAATTTTCAAGACTCAAGATCTAATAAAATAGATTCTACGACTACATCACTGTATATTTTGACACCAATCTTATAATTGTAGCATGCACAGAAGCAAAGATATTGTCTCTGATGTATTTTTGGCGGCCATTTTGAAAAATGTGTATATTTCCAATATGAAGCGCCATCTAGCTTGTGTCTTTGGATAAATTTATTTATATTGCCCTAAGGTACTTCCATGCCAAATGGGACATTTGCATCATACAATGAAGTCCAAATGTAGTTAACCCATCTACTATATACAGAAATATGTGGATTAAATAGAAAAATGACATTACATAATTTTTATCAAAAGTTTTTCTAAATTCTAGGTGTTCTTTCGGAAGATTTTGTCATGGTCTTCAATACAAGGATGAGCAAAAAATTGTAAGTTGGACCTTAACTTTCAACCATTAAATATATTTTAAAGATGTTTGTTCAATTTCCATGATGCTCCAATTTTTTAAAAGATATTTTAAGATTTCATTTGTTTTACCCATTCTTCATAATCGAAGGGATAAGTAATCAATTTTCAGTATGGGTATCCATATTTCATATTGGTATATTGTCTGTATTTTATATGGGTATATATGTCTATATTTCAGTTTGGGAATGTTTTATATTTCAAAATGGGAATGTATACATTTCAGTATGGGTTTTTATTTTTTATTTCTGTAGGGGAATGTCTATATTTCACAATAATCAGGCTTTATTTCAGTATGGGGGTATGTCTATGTTTCAGTATGATTATGTCTATATTTCAGTATGGGGATGTCTATACCTATAGCTATAGAGAAGCTCCACTTGGAAGGCCAATTACAGCTGATCCTACACATGTCTATGGATACACCCTTCCCACATATTAGCAAAGCATCCATCTCATTTTTGGAAAAGTAAGTCAGTTGTATGGGAAATGGGGGTCATGTATGACAAAATACTCATGCCTGCTTCCTATCTCAAGTTTTTTTCTCTAAGGTGAGGAAATACTTCAAGCCCCTCAAAGTGTGAATGCACTGGCTGATTTACTTGCATTTTTATTCAGTAAAGATTGTTGCCAAGAACTATAGTAACACAGAAGCAAACCTTACTTATCATTCCTGTTAAATCGAGGGACCATATCAGTTGATATCAGTTGAGATTCCTCATACAATGGCCTTTTGTGGTCTTATTAAAAGGTTCAGTGGCCATTAATATTCTTTGTATTAATCTTATAGGCTGTAATATCACAGTTGCAAATGTCACTCATTGTTGCTGTTCCAGGTATCAGGTGACTTCATCATACAATACTCCTTTGAGGCCTAATTAGTGAAATACATGTCATTAACAAATCATTGTTGAGTTGAAAATGATACAGGGAACAGGCAAATTATTACCTGAGTGCCATTGTGCAGTTTGAACCTCTTGAGTGTTTACAAGGATGGAGATTTCTCTAACAAATAAAATCCCCTGAGGAACAGAGCGATGGATATTTCCTTTACAGAATATTTCACAAATTTTTTTGCTTTTGCATTTTTTATCTAATCTACACTTATCATTATTTTAAACGGATATTTATACAAGTGGTAATTATGTATATAAAAATGAAAATAGCACGTTCATAATTTATTGTAAACTTATTTATTATTTATTGTATCTTTATTCTTAATGTATTGTGTATTTGTAGTATTTATCAAAACTGACAAAATAAAATTAAGACTCAAAGTGTTCAAATTGATAGGTGTTTGGATGAGAGAGGTGTTCAGATATAGAGGTTTTACTGACTAAATGTTCTCGAAAAAAAAAATTAAGTACAATATTCAACTATTTTCAGACCTGACATCTGGTTTAATGTGAGGGCGCTGAAATCCATTGACCTCATGGAGGTGCCGATTTTGAAATCGTGGATGCATAATCTCGTTATGGATAGCATCACATCAGCTCTGGTGGATCCTGGGAAGGTTCAAATGAAACTGGGATCAACAGGACCTACATACAGACCAACAGATACCAACAAGAAGAAATTGGGTAAACATTTTTGTTAACAAGAAATTACATGGCAAGAAAAACAAAACACATTTCACCATTAAGTACCATATTCAAAACCAATTTCTGTGTAATTCGTTTAGAAAAATGAATGTTCTAAAGTGAATTATAATACTTAAAGGACGATTCTCGGTTTGGAGAACAGTCTCCTGGGCTAATAATTTTTTTCATGAAAAATATAGAAATATTACCCAAATTAAAATATGAATATTCAAAAGAGGACATTTAAATCTACAAGATGTAAAAATAACAAATTGGTCTGAAGCAGGGATAATGCTCAATTAGACTGATTCAATAAAATACAAGTCTTGATTTTGGGGAAAGAAGTTCATCAGTGTACTGCGCTAATATTTTTTTGCGAAAAATCTAAAAATAATACCCAAATTATTCAAAAGAAGACATTAAAATCTATATTATGTAAAAAAATCAAATTTGTCCGAAACAGGGATAATGCTCATTTAGATTGAAGAACTTCGTTCTCCAAACCGAGAATCGTCCTTTTAGGTCAGGTGCATTGAAGTGACTACTGAATGCTCAACATGCATTAAAGATGACTACATGTACACCCAATTACAGCTCAATGTGCATTAAAAGTGACAATTCTGAATTTCAGCTCAAGGTGCATTAAAATTGACAATACTGAATTTCAGCTCAATGTGCATTAAAAGTGACAATACTGAATTTCAGCTCAAGGTGCATTAAAATTGACAATACTGAATTTCAGGCTTAGGTGCATTAAAATTGGCTATACTGAATTTCAGCTCAAGGTGCATTAAAAGTGACAATACTGAATTTCAGCTCAAGGTGCATTAAAAGTGACAATACTGAATTTCAGGCCATTAAAAATGACAATACTGAATTTCAGCTCAAGGTGCATTGAAAGTGACAATTCTGAATTTCAGCTCAAGGTGCATTAAAATTGACAATACTGAATTTCAGCTCAAGGTGCATTAAAAATGACAATACTGAATTTCAGGCCATTAAAAATGACAGTACTGAATTTCAGCTCAAGGTGCATTGAAAGTGACAATTCTGAATTTCAGTTCAAGGTGCATTAAAATCGACAATACTGAATTTCAGCTCAAGGTGCATTAAAAATGACAATATTGAATTTCAGCTCAAGGTGCATTAAAAATGACAATACTGAATTTCAGCTCAAGGTGCATTGAAAGTGACAATTTTGAATTTCAGCTCAATGTGCATTGAATGTGCTAATACTGAATTTCAGCTCAAGGTGCATTAAAAATTGACAATACTGAATTTCAGCTCAAGGTGCATTAAAAATGACAATACTGAATTTCAGCTCAAGGTGCATTGAAATTGACAATACTGAATTTCAGCTCAAGGTGCATTGAAATTGACAATACTGAATTTCAGCTCAAGGTGCATTGAAAGTGACAATTCTGAATTTCAGCTCAAGGTGCATTGTAGGTGACAATACTGAATTTCAGCTCAAGGTGCATTGAAAGTGACAATTCTAAATTTCAGCTCAAGGTGCATTAAAACTGACAATACTGAATTTCAGCTCAAGGTGCATTAAAAATGACAATACTGAATTTCAGCTCACTGTGCATTAAATGTGACAATACTGAATTTCAGCTCAAGGTGCATTAAAAGTGACAATACTGAATTTCAGCTCAAGGTGCATTAAAAATGACAATACTGAATTTCAGCTCAAGGTGCATTAAATGTGCTAAAACTGAATTTCAGCATAAGCTAATTGACATACTGAATTTCAGCTCAAGGTGCATTGAAAGTGCTAATACTGAATTTCAGCTCAAGGTGCCTTAAAATTGACAATACTGAATTTCAGCTCAAGGTGCATTAAAATTGACAATACTGAATTTCAGCTCAAGGTGCATTAAAATTGACAATACTGAATTTCAGCTCAAGGTGCATTAAACGTGCTAATACTGAATTTCAGGTCAAGGTGCATTAAAAGTGACAATACTGAACAAGCCAGTTGAGGGAAAGAAGTTTCTCGATGATATCCACTATTGCCAACTAAAACTTGGTGAAGATAAAGAGAACACAAGTTCAGCAGCTGCAGACAGTAGCTGGGCAAGCTCCCATTGGTTTCTAGTTCGAGATAGAACTACAGAACAGGTATTTTGTAGAGAGAGAGTCAAAGGATTTCTTGAGTTCTTAGATAATGAAGTATAGCTGAACCTGTCTTAGTGAACAGCTCTTTCAGGGAATACAGGTTCAAAGTGTTTTTTGTGAGAGTGCGACAGTCTAAATGTGTATCTTTTATAGCCTTTACTGTATTCCTAAATAAGATAACTATATTTTGAAGATTGGCATTATTACATATAGCTGAACCTGTAAAGTGGAACACTTCTAGAAGTGGAGCACCTCCGTTAGTAGAACAGAGCCCCCAGTCCAACTGACTTAATGTTAATTAAACCTCTATAAGTAGAACACCTCCCAAGTGGAACATTTTTAGAAGTACAAAAAGTGTTCCACTTAAGACACGTTTTACTGTATATTTTTCAAGAAACTGCATGTAAAATACATTTATTCTGTCACCACCAAAATGTGTTGGCATATTGTTATATTCAACACATTTGTATACTGTGTTTTGGCATCAGTGGCATCTGTAACAATTGTTACACTTTTGTAATTGCAACTAGGTGGTGACATCTTGTCACATGTTTGATATTACTGTTAAAAAGTATTAAGAAATAGCAGCTTCCTCTTTAACTTTTGTGTGTGCTCTTTCTAACTTCATTTTGAATTTCTTCAATTAATCTTAAAGGACAACTGAAATAGCTTTTCTCAACTTGCAGCTACAAAAATGCGGTTTTCTCCATTGTAAGCCCACCGTAGAGTTCTTGCGATAGCCATTATAAAAGCCCCCACGTGATTAGTAACGTCATATACAAAATATAGCTTTGGTTTATTTTTTCCATAGTAATCACAACGTCATGGCAACCATAGGATTGTTGTGTAAACAAATAACAAAACATTTTGGCATTATGACGTCATGATCTAATGGAACCAAAATGGGCCACGTGGGGACCAGTGAGAGATCACGTGGGGGCCAATAACGTCACAACCAATTTGAATATTGCTTATTAAGCAGCTATAACGATCGTTAGAGTGAAATAGTTTTCACACTACTGATGAGAAAACATGTCCAAATACATCTATCAAAAAATCATATTGATTCCTTTAGGTTAAAAATACCATTTCATATCTGCTTTAATTCTTTTTCGATTGTGCATTATTGATAAAACATGTATTTCCAAATTATCTGCATCCTAAACATAATATAGAGAAATTTTGAAGAGAAAACATTGGATTATGTTGAACATATGTATGATTCCTAATTTTTTTCTTTTCCCAATTTAATGTGTGTTCAGTTCCTACTTGAACATGTTTTTGATTCCTAATTTAGCATGTGTTTGATTCCAAATGAAATGTGTTTGATTCCTAATTTGACATGTGTTTGATCCCTAATTTAACATGTGTTTGATCCAAATGAAATGTATTTGATCCCTAATTTAACATGTGTTTGATCCCTAATTTAACATGTGTTTGATTTGTAGCTCTGTGTGAAAGTAAAAAGTAAGAGAATGTTGAGTACGCTGACCCTTGCTCAGTTTGATTTGCCACTAACTAACTATCCACTAAGACAACAACAAGTGTAAGTATTTCATTTGAATTCTGTTGCTCTAATTGTGTCGCTCCAATAGTTTTAACTATAATAAGGTATTCTTGATCAAATATTAAAGATCGAGGTTGTGATTTTGGAAATATGCCCAATATCAGGGTTTATGCTTGCTAGTTCCAAGGGAATGTAGTTTTTATGTCACCATCAGAAGTGGTTACATATTGTTATAGTCTCAAACTTTGTGGATGGTGTTCAGTAGATGGCATTTGGCATCTGTAACAAATGACAGGTGCCAGGTGGTGATATTTTGCATATGAATGCCTTGTCATCTATTTACTAGAGAAAATTTAGAAGTAACAAATAGTTTGAGGAAATCATGTTGCATAAAGTGAGATTTTTGCTGGGTTTGTCAGAAAATAAAAATCCCCCCCCATACCCTTTCTCAAAAGCTTTAAACAATATACCACCCTCTGCCATTAGAAACCATCAAAAGGCCCAGTAAATTTGTTTTCCAGGGTCAATACGGATATATCCAAAGAGGTAACAACAATGGAGAACACGGGTCTTGTTAACATGGAGGTTGCCCTAGAGTATACTGAAATGCCACCTATTGACCTAGATAAGATGGTACACATGGAAGATGATGCCATAACAGATGAAAAAGGTGAAGATAAATGGAAATCTTGAAAGTTAATCAACTTTGCTAGTATTAGTTTTTTTATTTTAGAAAATAATCTGAACTCAACCCACTTGGACTTAGCAGCCATATTTAAACCTGCACATCGCTCCAAAACGCAATATGTTGACATATATTGTTTTTACATTTTTAAGCTCTAATATAAAGTTTATGTAAATAAAAATTGTTTTTTCTGCGTTATATCAAAGAACAATCATTTAGTTAAAAAAAATAAAAAGGCGAATGCGGGATTCGAACCCGGGCCTCCCGCGTGTTAAGCGAGAATTGTACCGCTAGACCACCGTGTTATTATGAATGGTGGAAGTAATTAAACGCTACTTATTTTGAATGCTATGATTCGGAAGTGACGTCACGTTCTTCATTTAGAAACCTTTCCAAAATCATATCTTCGGCGCCGATCGAAGCAATTCAATGAATAATCTTTGAAATGACACATTTATCGTAAGTATTTCTACACAAGATTTGCCCCATTTGTTCATCATTCTATAATCTTTCATTAAGCTCAAAATGATAAAGTTCACCCCCGAAACAACCCAAGATTGCGTTTTGGAGTGATGTGCAGGTTTAAGATATAAAATGCATTTGTGGTATCATAGTTTGCACCAAATATTGTTTCCTCATGTATTCCAGTATCTGGGGTGTTATATGTGTGTGTTCATGGCGCTGCGGGTCTACTAGGGCTAGATCAAGGTGACACATCAGACCCATATTGCATCATCTTCAACAACGGCAAAAAGGTAATTGTTTAGTGAAACAATAAAGTATGTGGTATATGTAGAGGATCACTTCTCTCTAAGGCTGTACATGGTAATGAAAATTCATTCATTTGTTTTTTCAATTTAATTTGAATATTTTAAAGATATTTAAGCAGTACTATACAGGTACAAAGATTATCCTATTTTAGGAGGCTCAGGCTATTGGGATTATTCCAAAGCAAATTTGCCAAGCAAATCTTACTCTCTTTTGAAAGACTTTCGACAAACCTGCTACATAGCATGGTATAATACCTGGTATCCTCACAAACTTCAAAGTTGGGGATTATGGCAGTAACTTAATATTTCATTTTCCTTTCTCCTCAGGCATATTATTAGAGATCGCGAAATGACCTGTCATTTTGTTTCAGATGAAGGCCACCCATAATATTCCCAGAACCACTAGTCCTGTGTGAAATGACCTGTCATTTTGTTTCAGATGAAGACCACCCATTATGTACCCAGAACCAAGAGTCCTGAGTGAAATGACCTGTCATTTTTTTCAGATGAAGACCACCCATTATGTACCCAGAACCAAGAGTCCTGTGTGAAATGACCTGTCATTTTGTTTGAGATGAAGACCATCCATTATGTTCCTGGAACCAAGAGTCCTGTGTGAAATGACCTGTCATTTTGTTTAAGATGAAGACCACCCATAATGTTCCCAGAACCAAGAGTCCTGTGTGAAATGACCTGTCATTTTGTTTTAGATGAAGACCACCCATTATGTTCCCGGAACCAAGAGTCCTTTGTGAAATGACCTGTCATTTTGTTTCAGATGAAGACCACCCTTAATGTTCCCAGAACCACGAGTCCGGTGTGAAATGACCTGTTATTTTGTTTTAGATGAAGACCACCCATTATGTTCCCGGAACCAAGAGTCCTTTGTGAAATGACCTGTCATTTTGTTTCAGATGAAGACCACCCTTAATGTTCCCAGAACCACGAGTCCGGTGTGAAATGACCTGTTATTTTGTTTTAGATGAAGACCACCCATTTTATTCCCAGAACCAAGAGTTCTGTTTGAAATGACCTGTCATTTTGTTTCAGATGAAGACCACCCATTATGTACCTAGAACCAAGAGTCCTGTGTGGAATTGCGAGACAGAGTTCTTTGTTGAGGATGTGTCAAAGGTAAGGATCATTTGAGTTTATCACCTCCATACCATCTGGAGCAAGTCTAGCTGCCAATCTTAGGAATATGGCTGCCAATCCCTTCAAGAAATAAGCCCGACTATATCATTGTACTATCTTTTCAGGTCTGCATGAATAAACAAATCACAAAAAGATTGGATGAATTTGTCAAAGTATTTACAATTTGTGTTTTACAAGATCACCTTTTGAAGGATTTTCTGTGAATTGACAAAACCATATTTATGACGTCAGTCTATGGTAAAAGTCACATTCATAGTTTGGGGTTGTGTTCAATGGAGCTTCTTCAACCCTTGAAACTTGGTCGAAGTGTACAAAATAAACTCGGTTATCAGCCTCTATTCTGCACCATTGTTTTCTTAAATCAGCACAAAAATGAATTGATAGCCAAAGACTTGCTTCAGAGTGTAGTAAAAGTAGTGCAGTGTAGTAATGTTGCAACTGATCAATGAATGTTCAAAAATGAATCAAAATCTTCAAGTCATGGTGTGTTTTTCTCTTCAGTGCAAGGTGTTTTCAATCCGGCTGCTTCACTAATCAGGAAATCCATGTTTTATATACTTTTCTCATATGACTTACAAAGATACAGCCATCTTTACCCCATGCAAGATATTGCCATCTTTCATCTTAAAAAGTCACAAGTGCTAGATGAGATTTACTTATGACATCACGGTTTTAAAAACATCATCAGCATGACAACCAAGTGAGTCGACATACTGTTAAGCCAAAAAGTAAACTATTTCTCTGTATAGGAACCTTGTTCATGGTACCAGGGTTAGCATCATATCTTCTGTTATGTTCAAATGTAATAATAAGATTAATTATAATTTTGGCTAACGACATTGAAGTAAATCCAGGGCCAAGATACCAAGAAACTAATATATTGTCCTGTAACATAAATGGTAAAATTGCTGATGGTGAAAATAGTCCTAGGTTTGTAGAATTGGGATTAACAGCCAAATTACAAAATTGCCAAATAATCTCGGTCTGTGAAGCAGGGAAAAATCTTGACTTAGACAAATTAATGATTGATGGCTTTCATAAACCATACCAACCTCAAAATTTCCAAGGGAGAGGAATTCTAATGTATGTGGACGAAAATTTAGCTTTCAAGCCTAGGGATGACCTTAGCACACTCAATGAGATTGATTGGTTAGAGATAGTCATTGAACACAAAAAAATCCTCCTAGGCACATGCTATAGGTCTCCATCAAAGACATTGATTGGGGACATTGAACAATTTAATACATTACTAGAGCAAAGTGTAGAAACTGCTATGAGGGAAAGGAAATATGACATGATACTAATTAATGGGGATTTTAATGCCAGGAGTAAATTCTTTTATGATCATGATATTGATAATACAGCAGGAACCAAATTATATGAGACAATGACTAATCTTGGGTTTGAACAATTTATTCATGAACCAACTAGAATAACTGAAAATAGTATATCATGCATTGACCTAATTTTTTCAAATTCTCCAGGCCTCATGATTGGTACTGAAGTCCTAGCCCCAATAGGGGGCAGTGACCATAGTACTATAGTGTGTAACTTACAGCTAGCTACAAGTAAAAATCAACCTAAAATTACTACTAAAACTTGGCAATACAAAGACTGCAACCAGCAAGCCCTGAATAATGATATAAATTCTGTGAATTGGAACAACATTATAAATAATGGCACAATTGATGAGTCAACTTTAAATTTTTCCTCCAAGTTACTGTCTATTTTTGACCATAACATACCTCACAAAATCAAGGTGAGGAAACCAAAAGATTTACCTTGGTTTAATGACGAAATCAAAAAGGCTGTGAATAACCGTGACAAATATTATAAGAAATTCAAAAGAAACAACACTTTGGATTCGAAGTTGAAATATAAAAATAAAGTTGAAATGTTGAATAATCTTATTAACAAGGCTAAACTTAACCATGAACAGGAAATTTGTGAAAATCTTCACACTTATTCAAGTGGGGAACATTTTTATTGGAGCGCTATTAAAAAATTACTTGGAAATAAATTTTCCTTTGGAATTCCAACTTTAAGAAATTCATCTTTGACAAACATATGTAGTACAGATGAAGAAAAACGAAACGAATTTTTGAAATTGTTCGTAGGTAAATTTCACTTTGATAATACCCGCGACACAAATGCATTACCATTTTTTCCAAATAGAACAAACAACCTTTTGACTTGTAATTTAATCACACCATCGGAAATAAGAACCCTCATAGCTGACCTTGACACATCAAAAAGTGAGGGTTTGGATGGTATTACAAATAAAATGCTCACCATGAGCATTTTATCTATTGACAAACCATTAGCCTTATTGTTTAATAGAATTCTAACTGAAAACATTTTTCCAAGATCATGGAAAGATGGAATAATAATTCCAATCTATAAGAATAAAGGTGATAAATCTGATATTACAAACTACAGACCTGTCACATTACTTAGTAATATATCCAAATTATTCGAAAAAGTAGTGCATCAACAGATGATGAAGTTCCTTTTAGATAATAAGTTATTATATGAAAATCAATCAGGTTTCCTGCCTGGTCACAGCACTGACAGTCAGCTACTAAGTATTACTAATTTTATAATGAATGCATTTGAAGACAAAGCGGATGTACGGGGAGTCTTTTTGGACCTGGAGTCTGCGTTTGATAAAGTCAGACATAATTTACTTATCCACAAGCTAAATTCTTATGGCTTCAATGATAACCTGTTGAAACTTATGAAATCCTACCTAGACAATAGAAGAGTATGCACACGCCTTAATGGATCTTTGTCCGAATTCTCTGAAGGAAATTTTATAAACTCTGGTGTGCCTCAAGGCTCTATTCTAGGCCCCATCCTATTTCTGCTATTTATAAATGATCTCCCAGAGGTCATCCAATCAAAATGTTATATTTATGCTGACGATACTTCTATATATGTCCCCGTTCACAAGTTTGAAAATGTTTTAACATCAAATACATTATTACAACATGAAAAACCAAAGAGATAATTTTTTCCAAATCTATTCAAAATGTAAGAAACTTTCCTATTTTGACCTTGAGCAACAGAATAATTGAAAGAGTAAATTATCATAAACATCTTGGAGTTATCTTAGATAACCACCTTGACTTCAAAGAACATATAGCCCAGTTAAAAGTCAAAATTGATAAAATGCTAAATCCACTTACAGCATTGAAAAATAAAATTTCATCCAAACACCTTGAAAGAATGTACTTATCGTTCATTTTGCCAAAATTAGAATTCGGATCAATCTTTTATAATTGTTCACCACATTATGCCCTAAATACCAAGTTGCCCTTGTGGACATTCCCAGCAAACCAAGTCCCATTTATTACTTTACTGCCCTCTATCAACTGGAACAAGGTCAATCTTTACCCAAAAACTACAAGAGCTGCAAAATTTTAACTTTAGAGAATTTGCCAGTCTAAATAGTGTAGATAAAGTCCACACCATACTTTTTGGAGATCATAAGTTCTCAGATAAATGTAATGCTGATATTATGAACCTTACGGCAAATTTTGTTGATTCTATCATTTAGCATTAGCCTCAACATTTCATCACCATCATCATCACTATTGTTATCATCATCTCAACTGTGGCCACTGAGACTCTTATAAACAATACATTTACAATACATGTCTGAAACCATTTATATCAACTTTATTTTGCTACTTTTATTTAATAGGGAGGCCAACAATTTAATTTTACCTCGGCCTTCCTAGTATGTTAAATATTGTTATATAAAATTGTGCAAAGAAATAAAACTTAACCTTAAAAAAAAAACAAAAAAAAAACAACGGATACACGGCTACTATGAGTATCCATGCTCATTCTACAAAATAAGTTGTGACGTCATAACAATCGAACTTTCTTGCCACGCGTAACCATGTGTTTTCTACAACATTTTTTGACGTCATAACAATTGAAAAATGAAGTTCCATTGATCTGAAGCTATTTTCACTCATTTTTATCATAAAACGGTGAAAATATGGCATAATTTAGAGTCATATGAGAAAAACTTTCTTGTACTCATACCTTTGCAATATCGTCCATTCTCGACTCGCTTTGATAATGTTTCTTCGACTTGATAAAGAAGAATTATCAAAGCTCTTGAAGACTAGATGATCTTGCACAGGTACTCATACAAGAACCTCTATATATACTTTCTGCCAGTTTAATGGGGAAAACTGATTTTTTTAGTTACTTTTCAGACTCTGATGTCTTTCATTGTATATGACTGGGATGGAAAGGGAGCAGGAGATGATGACTTTCTTGGCTCCGCCTACTTGCCACTTTCAAAGGTGAGTGACATTTTAACTCTGCCCTCTTGCTTTTTTCACAGAGTGAAATTTCCTAGCTATGTCTCCATAACTTCTAACATAAGTGACAAAGTTTTCAGTTTCAGTTCATTTGGATTTAAATATTGGAATCATTCACTTGACACATTTAATTGTTATGTAACAGATGTTTAGCTCTCACAAAATACACCCAAATTTTCATTATCTTAAAAGATATAAAATCTGTAGAACATCAATTTGAACACCACCCTACAATGTACAATCAAATAAACAAACTACAAAAAAGTTGTTATTTCTTTCAGGAAAATAGTTGTTTCGTGAAGCATCCATTGACACTAGGTTACAATATGTTGGCTGGAAAGAAAAGTGAAAAGTATATGGGTGCCATTACTGTGTCTGTCATATTCCGATATGTACCCAGTGGCTCAGATATAGCATTAGGTGTGTACGGTAGGGGTTTGCGTACAAAAATACTTCACTACTGTATTCCTTTGTTTTTCCTTTCTTTTTTACCACAACATTTTGCTACATATTTAGACATTCCAAGAAGTTTTGTTTATCCGTCAAACATTCTAGATTAAGTCATTTTTTCAGATCATGGTCTAGAAGCTCCCAGAATGCCTTCTTTTCGGAGCACAAGTAGCAGCCCATATGGAACCTTACCAAATCAAGGTATAAACACAAAACTTGCACTTTACAGTGATTATCTTAGAATATCTTGTCTAATGGTGTAATTTTGTGATTCATCAGATTGTTTAAGAAATCAGCATAAAGGTTCCATAATTTTTTTTAATTTTTGTAAAAATGATCCAATCCAGAATCTAATACATTTGTACTATTGCAAAACTGTCTGAAACTATTGTAGTGTTACGATCATCAAGTATTTTTAAAATATCACTTCAAAAAAAAGTGAATAGCAGATTAATTTATTTATTTACTTTATTTAGGCATCCTTGAAGTTGGAATCATACGAGCACGTAACCTAGTCTCGATGGACATGAATGGGTTCAGTGATCCCTTTGTAGAAGTTGCGATTAATGATAAAAAGAAGTACACAAGTGCTGTTAAGAAGAAGACATTAGTTCCTGCATGGGATGAAGTTGCAACATTAACAATGCCATCGGAAGGAGATACCTTGGAAATTGTATGTATATTTATTATATTGTATATTTATTGTGTGTATATTTTTTTACCTGTGATTATAAGAGAGTGATACTCATATACATGTATTCATGATACTCATATACATGTATCCATGATACTCATATACATGTATCCATGATACTCATATACATGTATCCTTGATACTCATATACATGTATCCGTGATACTCATATACATGTATCCGTGATACTCATATACATGTATCCGTGATACTCATATACATGTATCCATGATGCTCATATACATGAATCCATGATACTCATATACATGTATCTGTGATACTCATATACATGTATCCGTGATGCTCATATACATGTATCCGTTATACTCATCTACTGTACATGTATCCGTAATACTCATATTCATGTTTTTGATTTTGATTCAAATTTTTGTGGATGAAAGACATTTACTTAAAGAAGGATTTTTTTAATATGGCTGCTCAATAATGAAAAGTTTGGTTATTCCTTGAACAGTTCTTTCATTATTTTGAATTGATGGCAGTGGCAACTATCCTATTTTACATTGCTATTATAGAAGAAATTACATTAGATCTGGCAAAGTTTCTGTATAATTGATTCAATCTTTGTGGGATCTCAAAATGTATCATCGGGTATATCGTGTTTTTAAATTTATTTGTTCTCCTAAGTTTGAAATCTGATATTGTCTCTTACACAATCATGTTTTGGTAAATTAAGCTGTTTAAGGGGCCATTTTGAATTGAAAGTACGTCAGTCTAATCATTTTGAATATCACATCACTGTGCTGAATATTTCATTAATATGATTCTTAACAGTAGCCAGTTTTATGCATAATGTATAATGTATTTAAGCATAAAGTATTTAGGCACAACATTCATAATAAAGATAAAATAAATTACATGAATTTTGAATTTACATTTATGAATCATTTTAAGTCAGCTGAATATCACCCATACTAACATCCCAGGTTGCTTTGAAGTGACTGGCATTTATAATATTTTTTTATTCAAATTTCCAAATAACAAATAATACTTTATTACATTTTTTTATTTTCATTTTACTTAGTCATTATGATATTATTATAGTGAATCACATGATAAACATTAAAATACAGAAAGCGCTATAAGTCATTATTTTATGCTTTCATAATTAATAATGGTAAGTAGATTACATATTGCATTAACATTTTTTATGTGAATACCATTACTTTTAAAGTTTACCACAAAAATTCTTGGGAAGGTATAGATGTACATGAGAATTCTAATGATGTGCTTTGGGATTTATCCTTTGATTATCCCATAGCTACATTTCGTATACATAGGATAGGATTTGCATAGTATTCACCTCCTATCTTACTATTGATACATTAATGCAAATCTCAAAACATTTATTAACAGCAATAACTTCAATAAAAGATGCATGATCTCAACATTGACACCTATCAATTTCATGATTTCAGAATGATTACACATTTTTATTTACATGTAGTTATATGTCCACATATATTGATCAATAAGATAATCTTACTTGACCAACAATGGACCTAGAATAACGCTCAAAATTCAAATTGTTTACTACTCGCATATCTTTGATATGCTGGATGATATGTTCCATGATGTAGGAATCACACACATAACCGTGTCATGTCAACTTTTTTTAAAAATATCAGAAGTACCTCTGCTATAGTTACAATGTCATCATGCATATCAACATAATCATTTGTCATGCATATCAACATAATCATTTGTCATGCATATCAACATAATCATTTGTCATGCATATCAACATAATCATTTGTCATGCATATCAACATAATCATTTGTCATGCATATCAACATAATCATTTGTCATGCATATCAACATAATCATTTGTCATGCATATCAACATAATCATTTGTCATGCATATCAACATAATCATTTGTCATGCATATCAACATAACCATTTATCATCTTTCGATTTGTTTCCTTCATAGTTTACATCTGTTTTCTTTAAAACAATCCTGGTTTAGTTTGTTACTTAGCCTGGTATTTTTTGCTGTCAAAGATCAAAAATATTAAAAGTAAAAATAAAATTAAAATATTAAAAATATTATTCAACCACTTTACTGATGAATGATTATGGTTTTCACATCCATATTCCATATATGTACAGTATGTTATACTTAGGAAGAAATTATGTATTATTACCACCTTGCCGGGCCAGTTCTAGGGGTTTTAGTTTCGGCCCTTGGTCCAATATTTCACTTTATTATATCACTATCTAGCTAGCGACAGTATGATTGGTCAAAACCGGGTCACATGTCGTGGGATATCTGGCGATATTCAATGGCAATGCTAATCAGATAAGACAACCATGAGATATCTAGCGATATCCCACGCTCCCGGGAATTTTCAAAGAATTTGTTTTCGTTCAGTGTAAATAATTTAGTTCAGTTTAAGTCAAAATGGCAGACGAACCGAGTAGATTTGTAAAAATATCTGAAGACTTAATGACTTAATAATATTAGGGATGTTTAGCTAGACAGTGATATAATAAAACAAATATTTCACTCTATTTTCGGTGAATACCTGTAGCACTTTCACAAGGTGATATTCCACTTGCCCTTCGGGCTTCGTGGAATATTACTTGTGAAAGATGTACAGGTATTCACCTCAATAGAGTGAAATATTTGTTCAATATTGCCCGCAGAAATGATGTTATCGTACTATTGGGTTTATCCAGAGGGAAGATATCTTATCATCTTGAACGATAACGATCAACAAATGAAAAATGCAATAGTTTAAAAAATCGAAATTAAATAAATCTCAACATTTGAATTTTGAACATTTGAACGCAAAAAAAGCTATCTTGGATGAATACATAATACATAGATCACAATGATATTCAGAATTAAAACTCGAGGGCAATATTTTACAGAAAATTTTTAAAAATGTGTTTACTTAATTCAGATATTTGTTTCAGAAATAAAATATAGCTTACAAAAATACAAAATATGAGTTATTTACAGAATGTATATGTCACCGATATGGGTTGTATACAAGGTTAACAGCAAAAACTGAATATAATTTTTATCTTACTGATCATGGTATAAAAATCTATATTGAATGTACATATACAAAAATATATACATACTGATTAGAAAATACTTAGTCTAATACTTTGGTATTACAATGAATCATTAGATAAAAAAATTCAACAATTAGTTAACATTTAAACATTTTCATTTACACATTTTTTTTACATATTTATGCAATTTTTGATCAATAGCCTACTTCATAACATATTCAGAAAAATTGACCTCAAAAATCCATAATTAGAAGATGATATTGGTACATCATTTTGCTCTTTGAGAAACAGTCTCCATCAGTGACTTATTTGATCCTCTTCAAACATAACCAAGCATATATTGCCATTTGGTTGGGTTATAGGACAAGGGAGGTCTGAGTAGAAACAAGAATGGGTACCGTAAATTTTATTTCAAAGTGACAAATTTCAGTCATGTTGATTCGATTCATGAAGCTTATTCTTTCATTCACTGTTAAGTTACCAGAGTAGGTCAGATTGAAACATCTGTATTTTTCTCCCAGTGTTGGTGTCTTTATGCATTTTTAGCATGCATATGTAAAGTGTAATACATAGAATAAAGAGAACATGGGATATTATCTTCCCATCAGGGTAGCAATGATGATAATGGGAAATAGAGGCACTTACCAGAACTAATGTATGAAAGAGTAAATAAAATTTGTTGTATTCCGCATAATTGAGAAGTTTTTCAATACCTAGAACTGAGAAATAATAATTAACTAGTAGATCCATCAACATAATGAGAAGCCAAAATATCAAATAGCCTGGATGGTAATTGAAGAACAAGAAATTCAATATAAATGCTTGCAATATTAGATGAAGGGAAAGGAATGAAAAATATAAAATGAATTTAAAAGTGGGATCTATTGTTCGAAATAGTTCCCAGTTTATTTCAATGTAAATATATATAGAATTGATTGCAGAGAGGTATGGTTTTGAAATTCCAGTGCATAATACTAGGCCTGCCAATAACTGCTGTATTTTTCTCTCAGTGGCTTGATCCATGCTGTCTCACAGTGCACAAAATTTATTTCAAACTTGCATTGGCTTCTTTATCTCTTTAGGTAGTCAAAGAATATTTGTTCATGTAAATTGGGACTATTTTAATTTGATTTAAATTTCATTTGATTCATCTATATAAATATGGATACTTTACTCTTTAAATTTTGGGCTATAATATGTCTATATTTTAAATATATAGCATATGAATTCAATCTTGCAAGAAGTCCCTATTATCATATGCACTGTTCACACCCAAAATCCAAGTTACATCTTGATAAATTGAAGTATGTCATTTGAGTCACTCGGGCCAATTCCTATATTCCTCGATGTTTTATATTGTATCATATATTCCTTAAGATGCTTGGTCAGTAGTAAAAAACCTAGCAAGTCAGATTGTATGTATAGAGGGAATCAATGGTATATTCCAGATAGCTTCACCCAGTGCTTCTTAGAGTTTAACTGAAATGTTGATTGCTTGGGAATAAAATGTATCAATAGTTAGTGTAGACGCTATTGTCTGTTGTTTCCAGTTGTCTGTTAAAGTTTAAGTATAACAGTTTGACTTGCAAATGCTTTTATTCATCGGTGCTGATTGTTCAGTGTCTCTGGACTATGCACTCATCTCCTAGATGATGTGTAATAATTTCCCTCACTAGAAATGCATTATCACTTTTCTCACTGATATTATAGACCCTTTATTGACTCCAGTTGTCTGTTTAAGTTTAAGTATAACAGTTTGACTTGCAAATGCTTTTATTTTTCAGTGCTGATTGTTTAGTGTATCTGGACTATGCACTCTATCTCTTTTATGATGTTTAATAATTTCCCTCTCTAGAAATGCATCATCACTTGATCATATCATCATCATTGATATAAAAGACTCCTTATGACATCATTATCTGTTTGTCTTACAG